GCCCGCGCGCGCGAGCATGCGCGGCGCATCATCACTCCCCAGCTTGCTTGACAGGCGCGGCGGCGCGCGCGCCCCCGGCGCCACGCGAGTGGTGAAACGTATTTCTGCTAGAGTGTTGAGACGTGAGGCGGGGCCAGCCGCGGCCGACGCCACTAGACCGGGTCGGACCCCTACCCCGGCAGACCGGCCAGCGGCGATGCGGCCCTCGCGCCGCAAGCGCCGCCAGCCTTTCGCGGGTGGCTCACCTGGGCACCTTTGCGAGCGCCTCGCGACGGGCGCCGGCCAGAGCACAACACTGAGCGGGCAGCGAGCGTTTTTTTCTGGGAATACTTCCTTTGTTCACTGACGCGTCCCTTGGGCCCCCAGCCACCTTTTGACAGCTCTCCACGGCCGCGGCGCCGGGGCCCTTGCGGCCTTCTCCCCCCCTCTTCCTCCCGCGCCCTATGCCGGAGCAAGGCCCCACCAGACCAGAGAGTGTCGCGAGGCGGCTGCACCGCCGCGCCTTTCCAGGAGTGACCCGGGGCAACGGCCCCCTGCCGCCCCCTTTTCCCAGACTGCACCCTCACCAACATACCTTACAACACACATGGTCCGGCCCGCCGGCCGTGCCTCCAGCGCAACCCTCGCCGCGCGAGCACTTTTGCGCCGAGCGCAGCGCGCATGGGGCGACAAGCTGCGGGAGAGGGGCGCGCTTCGGCCGGCCCCGCCCCGGCGCCTCATGTCAGACGGGACCGCGGCCAGACCCCGCCCTATCGCAAACCCAACTTGGGCGGCTACGCATGGGCCCCTGCCGTGCCTGCAGCCGTGGCCCACCTCAGGGGGCCGAGCCTGGGGCGCCCCGACTGCTTTTTGTCGCCTGCTTCCCCCCCCCCTCTTACGCATGCACGCCCGGCCCCTGATCGGCTGCGGCCACCACATTGCCGCTGCGCTCTCCTCCAGGGTAACACCCGCTGTCTCTACTGTGCCCGTACACGTCATGGCGCCCCATCCGCAGCGGCAGTAAAAGCATGGAGCTGCCTCTTGACACGCGGGCAGCCCGGTGCTTGCGCGTCAAGAATCCCTTGATAGGCTGTGCCTGCCCAGGTGCTGCAAGAGGGCACACACACGACCATGACGCTGGGCAGCACGGCGTGGCCGCCGGCTTCAATCCAGGTCAGATGCCAGCTGTGCCGCCTCGTCCCACCCGTAATCCGTCCCGCTGCTGCTGGCCCGGCCGCCCTTGTGCTGTGCTCACGCCGACGCTGCCAGGGGGGTCGGCGCCGCCAGCCCGGCGCGGCCTGCGCTGTACACACCCCTATCCCGGCGCAGCCCCACACGCTGGACTGTCCCCAGGCGCCGCACATCGCGCAGCTCGCAGGAGGGGCCGTTACACCGCAAGGCAAGCAGGCGGCAGCAGCACCTCCCCAGGGGCCCAAGCCCGCGGGCAGCGGGGGTCGGCGCGGGGGCGCGCTTACTTCTTGCCCTTGCCCTTGCCGCCCTTGGCCTCCTGCTCCACCAGGTAACTGCCGCGCGGCGGTTTTCGGGGGGTGTTGGGGGGATGGGGGTGGGGTGGGTTAGCGTGCTGTCTGCTTTGACGGGGAGCACGGCGGCGCTGGGGGAGGTCGAGAGGGACGGGCAGCGCAGCACTGGCATGCCCACCCCGCGTGGCTGCGGCGGCGTCTTTCGCTCAGCAACCCGCCCTCTCCCGCTGTTGAAAGGGATGAGATCTCATCCAGGGGTGCCTGCCCTGGCGGGGGCGACGGCTGCGACCCAGGGCCATTGCTCTGCTCACGTGGTGGTGCACTTGCCGCAGTAGACGCGGTCAAAGTGGGTGGCCATGAACGTGCCGGGGCCGCACTGCGGGCACTGCTTGCGCAGGCGCTGCACCTTGCCGCTGTCGTCCACCTGCGGGGCGGGCGCAAGGGGGGTGGGGCACAGCGGGGGAGGCGTTGGAATGGGCGATGAGTGCATGTCACTTGGGTATTGCTTGGAGGCCTCAGCGGCGGGGCGCATGGCATTCGTCGCTGCTCGAGCCCGTCTGTCAGTATGAATCCGCTCCTTGATACTCTGGCAGGCACCCTGCACTGCCTCGACGCCACTGCGCCACCCACAACAGCCGCGGCTGCCGAGCACGCAGCGCACGCCTGGTGCATCAGCCAGTTGCGGCCCCTTGCCCTCGGTTCGCCTTGACCAGCCGCGAGAGCGTACCTTGTAGAACTTGAGCACCCTGAGCTTGATCTTCTTGTGCTTGTGCTTCTGCTTCTTGGGCTTGGTGTACGTCTTCTTCTTGCGCTTCTTGGCACCACCCAGCAGGCGGCCCAGCACGTTGAGCGTCGCCTCCTCCTCGACGCCGGCGGCCGACAGGAGGTCCGCCTCCTCCAGGGGCCGGCCGTTGAAGACAACGTACACGTCCTCGGGGGCAACGCCTGCAGTTGCAATGGGTGCAGCAGACTAATTTCTCAAGATCACTGCTGCTGTGCCACGAGCAGCCTATGGCGCACAAACATGTCCAAAGTGCGGGATGCTATCGGCGATCGACAAGAAGCGCTTTCCCGCGAGGTAGCGCAGCCCCTTTGTCCGCCGTCTCACCCTCGCGGGCCTGCACGAAAGCCTTCACATCGGCAACAGTGGCGTTGGGACCCACCTCAAAGAGGTGGGTCGTGCCTGTGGTAGGGGGAAGGGGCGGCGTGTGTGAGGCACGGGCGAGGAGCAGCAAAGCAGCGACTGCCGCCCTTGCACTGCAGCCTTCGCGGACGCACCCGTACGAACGAAAAGCTGCATTTTTAGCGTCCCAGCACTCAGCAATGGCGTAGCCAGTGCCGTCCTCGTGAGGGAAGGGACTGAGGACAGGCGCGCCGCTGGCTTTGTGTCGAAAGGGTGCCCGCCTGCTGCCCTGCCAGTGGCGAACGCCACGAATAGCCCAGGAATAGCCCTGTTCAGGTTTTCAACCCCACAAAACCGAACACAGTCTGCAAAAGCAGCGGTGGCGCCGCGGCAGAACTTGTGCAAGGTGGCCAGGGGTGCCTGCGCGCCCTCAAAGCTGCGGCGCACCCAAACGCACATCTTACCAGCTTGCAAGCCGCCTGATTCGTGCCAAGCCAAGCAGCGTCAGGCAACTGCAGGAGTCTGCCGCCCCCGCAAAGCGCAGCTGCGCAGCACTCGACAGACTGGGCAAGCTCTGCCG